CCACAGAGAGCGCCCCGGCGGGACATCGGGGTCAGCAGCGGGAGACCGAGAAATAGTTCTGTTCTGGGCGTGGGGAGGAGCTGGACACTTCGAAGCGACGGCGGTGGCAGACGTAGCTCTTTTGAAGGATGACCCGGTTTCTTCCCATCCGGGAGCCCCTCCCACACGGGTGCTGTGTCCAGAAGCCGAGCAGTTCACCCTGGAAGACACAGAGGAGATTCACCGCCCTGGGCCAGGCAGGGCAGGCGAGGAGAGAACCTTCCATGAGAGCAGCCTGGGGGGTGAGGAGCATGAGGGGAGAGGATTTGAAATGGAAGGGGGAGAAAGGGGAACGGAGCATAAGGGGGTGAGTAGTAAAGACCACTGATTCTCTGGGAGCTAGAACAGAGCGGGCCCCAGGCCTTCGGCGATCCCAGCCTCAGGACGCCCCCCAGATGGCACACATCTCGTGCTGCTTTTCCTTTCTCCTGGGGGATGCCTGTCGTGGCCTCTTGGGTCCTGGATTTCTCCCCAAGCTTGACCTGACCCCATGCACGCGCTGCCTTGGAGCCCGGGCGCTGCTCCGGGGAGCTGCTCCCTGCCCTTGGCGCCGCCCGACAGGTAGTCGTGGTCGAAACCTTGTGATGTCTGGCTCCTGGGGTCCTGGCACACACCAGCAGCAGTCACAGGACTCTGGGGGCTCCCTGACGGCCGCCCCCCCCGAGCAGACACCAGTTGTTCTCACTGACTCCAGATTTACCCGTAGGGAACCAACGGAAACCCCAATATGTTCCCCTCTGTGTCATTCTCGGCCTCCAAGAGCAAAACCTTTCTGCGTGCTGGACCTACCTGCCCAGCCGTCAGATCATTTCCAATTTGAAAACTTTGCTTTGGCTGAAATTACTCTCCCCAGCACCATTATTCAGCACGCGACACTCCCAGCGAGCTCTTGTTGCTCATGGTTTTCCTCTCCAGGGCACGCGGTCACCGCGCCCGCGGCTGCAGGGCGGCCTTGCGGGCACTGGCGCTCTCCCTCAGCCGTTCCCGGCAAGCTTTACAAAGATTTGCTGCTGTCCGCTTTTAGTAACACGTTCCTCCACGTCCAGTTTCTGTCTGACTGTATTTACCAGTAACATTCATTATGAGTCTGATGAAAGAAGATGCACTGGGAAGCTAATTCAGAGAAAATGGTCTCGGGGCGCTGTGTGGTGAAGGACGGGCTGCCGCTCGCCTCCCAGGCCCTCTGAGTCTGCCCTGCAAGGTCGGTCGCAGGCACCGCCGACCCGCCTCCTCAGAGGCCCCGCCGTGGGGGGAGCAAAGAGCCAGTGGCAGGGGGGGAAAGTCTTGCTTTTCTCCCAACACATCCGTGATTTTGGGGGGCGGGATGGAGATAGGGGTGGCTTTTTTAAAAAAAAAAAAGCTTTTGGTTTCTCCCCGTTATTTATTTTTTTTCTATTTCCATTCTCTCTTCTCTAAACTTCTCAGTTTTTCTGACTCATCACTTCACTCTTCCACCGGTGTTCCACCCCGCGTCCCTCCTGCAGCGGTGCTCGCTCCGCCTGCCTCCTCCCCTGCGCCCTCCTGCTCCCTCTCCACCCCAGGCCTGGCCCTCTGAGCATGTCGCTGCATTTCCCCCTCTTGGCTGCTTTCTTTGTGCACCCTGCTCCCGGGTCCTTGTAAGAGCTGCTTAGCAGAGGCCTCCGTGTCATGGCTGTGGAGGCTCGGGGGAAACTCGGCTCCCGCCGCTCGGCGCCCCACCCGATCCAGCAGCTGGGAGAGTCGTGGACCTGCGCTCCTTGATCGGCTCTAGAGCAGCGCTGCGGGCGGCCGTGGTGCAGGCCTGATTTTATGGAATCTGCCAGAAGACAGCAGGATGGATGCCGTGATCTCGGAGGGCCCCGCCAAATCCAGAAACCTGGGCACCTCGTCTCAGTCATCATCAATTTAGATTTATTGGACACCCCCTGGGGGATTGGAGCCGTGTTAAATGCTCTCATCCTTCAAACAGCTGCTTAAAATATTGTAATGCTGGGCTGAGTTCTCACAAGCTGGTTATTCTCTCTATTAGTGTTTCCCGCAGACTGTTGACAAGGTGGGGTGGGCGGATTGAGTGAGGATGTCGGGATGGTCCTTTATCTCTTTTAGCATAAGACCCTCCAGCTGCCCCTGCGTGTGGGTTCTCCCGCAGCTGGCGTGAGACTGCGGGCGCACTGAGCGGCGGGGGGGCGATGTTCGTGAGGCGGGGAATGCGGTGGGCATCCAGGGGAGACTGGGGCAGGGAGGAGCAGGGATGGGGCAGCGCGAGTGTGCGTGAGGGCGCCTGGAGCGGTTGCTTTCATTCAGTCAACAGACGCTTGTCAGGCGGCTGTGCGGTGCGGGTGGTTGCGTCGCTGGTAGAGATACAATGGGAAAAAATATTCTAACAGGAAGAGAAAGCCACAGAAATAAATGAATAAAGTTGGTGACATGTACTATAGCAATAAAGAAAGCAGAGGAGGGAGTTGGGGAACACAGGGCCCGGGAGGTTTCATTTTGAAACCACATCCCGGAAAGTCTCACCGATCAGGTCCTGAGAGAGACAGGGAATGAGTCAGTGCGAGGGTCTAGGTGAAGGCTACAGTCTCCCAGCAGGTGGGAGGATCTGGGCGAGGGGCAGGGGCAAGGAGAGCAGAGACGGGGCAGCCATTCTGGAGACAAGGGTGATGGGGCAGGTGAGGGGGGGCCTGGACTAGAGGGGTGCAGAGGGGGGCACCAGAAGGGGCCGGCGGGGGCGCACGCGAGGCCAGCAGCGCTGCCGGGGGTTGGCGGCCGATGGGGCCTGGGTGGCGAGCGAGAGGAATGAAGGGTGACGTCGGGGGTGCGGTGAGCTCCAGGGAGGATGGAGTCGCCTTCACCGAGGCGGGAAAGCCCGTGCGGGTGGGAAAGAGCCTGTTTGGGAGAAAGATCAGGAGTTGAGTTTGGAACAAGCTCTGTTCCAGTCCTCAGGCCCTGGAGGCGCGGGGAGGAGCCTGGTGAGCCGCAGGAGACCAAGGCTGTCAACCTCTGGCCCGGGCGCTCTAAGGGGGGGGCGGTGTAAGCGCCCCCGAGGAGCACCCATGGGGTCTCTACGACAGCGCCCGGGGCTGGGTGCCAGCGGGGTCGGCAGGGTGTTCCGGAGAGATCAGGGCGCCGCGCGCTGGCGGAGGGCGTGGGATGGCGGAGCCAAAGCAGGGTGTCCAACCTGGCTTTTGAGGTTACCTGAAGATTGGGGTGCCATAGGAAGAAAAAGCAGAGTGGGGTGTAAAAATACCCTTGTGGGGCCTCCCCGGTGGCGCAGCGGTTGAGCGCTGGGTTGCGAAGCTGCCCGCGGCCTCTGCAGCGCCGGTTCGATCCCCGGCTGCTCCCCGGCCACCGGAGGAGGGTCCCACATGGCGCGCAGACCTCTCCTGCCGCCCGCTGCTCCCCTCAGCAGTGTCCTTCGGTCCTTCTGCCTGCTCTGCTCCCCGCTCTGGCTCTGGTGAATTCTCTCACCCTCCCGCGCTTCTGACTGCACCCAGTGCTTGTGTAAACAAAACAAACAAACAAAATAAATAAATAAATAAAACATGCCTCTATAAAAAAAAAAAATACCCTTGTGAAGAAGCCGAAGGGGGGGTGAAGTGGACGTGGGCCGCCCCTAAGGAAACTGCAGACGGGCCCTGTGGAAAAGGGGCAGGGGAGGGGGCGGCTCTGGGCGCGGGCTGCGGGGGCCCCGGCGAGCCCTGGGACAGGAGCCGACGGCTTGTGTGTGGCGCCTCGTCTTCTCTCCCCCGCCCTCCTGTGGCCGCCTTCTCTTTTGGCTTGTTGTGGCGCTCGCTGCTTATTGGTCCTTTGGGCAGAAAATGGGGGTGGGGTGAGGGGAGAACACGGAGAACCCCGCGCTCTAAGCAGAGGGCGGCGGGTGGGGAGGTTAAAGCCACCGCGTGAATGAAACACTCGCGCTGGCGCCGCTGGGGGTGGGGTGGGGAGGGGGGGGCGGGGAGGGGAGGTGGTGTGGGGAGGGGGGCGGGGAGGGGAGGTGGTGTGGGGAGGGGGGGCGGGGAGGGGAGGTGGGGGGGCTGGCGGGGGGGGTGGTGCTGGCAGGGGGCCCACTCGTCTCCGTGCTGCGTTCTCCCTGCCGGTCCTCGGCTGCTTCCTCCGCTCCCCGCGTTCCCGCCCAACCTTCCGGCCGACAAGAAGCTCAGAGTCCCCCGGACCGTGACCTTGAGCTGGAGGCCGCTGTGGGTGCCGCTCGCTCGGGGAGCCTGCGTGGGAGCGAGGGGCCAGGGTAGCCTCGAGGAGGAGCGAACCGGGCGCGGGCCGGCGTGGCGGGCGTTCGAGGGCCCGGCCTGGGGGGCGGCCTGCCCGAGCGGCGCTGGGAAGGGACGGAGGAAACCTCCGACCCCAGGTCCTTTGACGACAGTTGCGGGGCCCAGCTTGGGAGGGTGCGACGGGGAGTCACGGGACCCGCAAGTTTCCGTTTGGAAAGGAGGCCGTGATTCTAGAGCCGGGAAGGGGAGAGGAGGGGCCGCCCCCTAGAGTGGAGCCAGTGCCCGGCTCGGCCCTCGGGGCGGTGGGGCCGGACTCTGAGGACACTGACAAGGGCCGCCGGCCCGTCTCCCCGTCTGTCCTGCAAAAGCCAACTTTGCGCCCCGCCGGCTCCCCAACTGTAAGAGCCAGCAGGGCCCAGGCAGCGTGGTCGGGGCTTGAGGAGGGACAGGTGGGGCCGCTTGGTCAGGGTTTGGGGAGGGCTGGCAAGGGGGTTCGGGGTGTGGGGCGAGATGAGGGGTCGCGGTCCTGGGAATGTTACGCCTTTGCTAGACGCTTATTGCCTCCCCCGCTTTTCCTAGTGACATCCGCGCCGGCTAATTCTTTCTTCCTCTCTCTCTGTCATCCCCGACCCCGTCCCCACCCCGCCCCACCTCATCCCTCCGTGTCCGTCTCTCTCCTCCTGTCCCTCCATCCGCCCCGCCGTGGCTCCCTCGCCTCCCCGGCCCGCTCCCCCTCGGTGTCGGCGCCCCCAGCGGAGGGGAAGGTGTACAGCTCGGATGAGGAGAAGCTGGAGGCGGCGGCCGGAGACCCAGCGGGCAGCGAGCAGGAGGAAGAGGGCTCGGGCGGTGACAGCGAGGACGACGGCTTCCTGGACGGCTCTGCGGGGGGCCCGGGGGCTCTCCTGGGACCTAAACCGAAGCTGAAGGGAAGCCTGGGAACTGGAGCTGAGGAGGGGGCACCCGTGGCCCCGGGAGTCACGGCGCCCGGGGGGAAAAGCCGCCGGCGCCGCACGGCCTTTACCAGCGAGCAGCTGCTGGAGCTGGAGAAGGAGTTCCACTGCAAGAAGTACCTGAGCCTGACGGAGCGCTCCCAGATCGCCCACGCCCTCAAGCTCAGCGAGGTGCAAGTCAAGATCTGGTTTCAGAACCGGAGGGCTAAGTGGAAGCGCATCAAAGCTGGCAACGTGAGCAGCCGCTCTGGGGAGCCCGTCAGAAACCCCAAGATCGTGGTGCCCATCCCTGTGCACGTCAACAGGTTCGCCGTGCGGAGCCAGCACCAGCAGATGGAGCAGGGGGCGCGGCCCTGAGCGGCTCCCGAGGACGTGGGAAGGCAAAGGACTGGCCTGGGCCCGCCCGGCCTGGCCTGGGCTCCGAGCCCCAGCAGGGCTGCTGCTACGGTTTTGCCCCGGGTGGGGCCGCCACCGGCAAATAACTTCGCTCTCGGTGGCTCTCCCGGGGGCCGAGAGGTGGGCGCTTGGCCCCGAACCTGCTCCACAGACTCTCGGGACTGGGGCCTTCAGGGTCAGAGACTCGGGTTCTCCGCCCAGGAACTGCGGGGCTGGGGCGGAGAGGGGCTCCTGGGAGGGGGGGGCTCCAGCACGCCCGGGCCGGAAGGGTTCTGGCCGCCGCCCTGGCAGCGCTTCTGACGGGGTCGGGAGGAATCCGGGCTGAGGCCTGGCCGAGCTGGCCGCGGCTCCGTATTTATTTTGTGTAAAGTTTGTATCTATGGAAGTGTCCGCCTCTGTCGTCTGTTGCGCTGGGAGGAATTGGGAGATTTCCGCATCCCGACCCTTGGCCAGAGTTCCCTTCCCTCTCCCCACACGCCGGGCGTGAGCCGGAGCTGTCGCCGGCCTCCTGAGAAGCTCCTCGGTGCGCGCCGCCCCCCAAGCCACCTCCGCTGTGCCCTCCCGCTGCGCACCTCTGGGCCTCCTCCCCCGCCCGTGTCCCCCTCTTCACCCCGCTGCTCTGGGGGGCGTTGGCGGCTCTAGGGTGGCGGAAGGTCCCTTTGGCGTTAGGAAATGAAACACGCTGGCTCCCGGGGTGTAGCCAGGCCCCGTCTGACTGGATTGAGGTGGCCAGTCCCGCCGGCGAGCAGGGCGGGCCGGGGGCGCCCCGTCCGCTGAGCTCCCAGCGAGACACGGCGGCTTCGTGTGTCCTGCCGTCCTCCGACAGCCCAGGCTCGAGGGCCCGGGGGAAGGCCCGTTCCTTTCTCTCCCTTCTTCTCGCGCTGCGGTCTCCCCTCCACTCACGAAGCTCGGGGGCCCCAAGCCCCTCCTGCGAGAGAACGAGAGTGGCAGAGTGGACGCGACAGGAGGGAATCTGTGATGGTTCCAGAAGGACACGTACTGGGGGGAAGCCACGCAGTGGCAGCCCGAGGCGGGGCTGGGGCCCCATGGGCAGCCCGAGCGGCGTGAGTGGCAAAGGAGGCGGGGGCGGGCGGCGTCAGGGCACCGGCTGGCAGCGCGCGCAGCAAGGGGCGCGAGAGCGGAGCTGCTGCCTGTCTCTCCCCTCGCTGCCGGGCCTTGCGCTGGGGACGGCGGCGCGGGGCGCAGACGCCTTGGCCTTGGCGCGGGCCTGCTGCGCTGGCGCCCTGGAGAGCCGGGGAGAAGCGGGGTCTGCGCTGCCTGGGGGAAGGGCGCGGAGAGCAGAGCCGCTGCGGAGGAAGCACCTCGAGCCAGGCTAAGGAAGCTCAGGGCGGGGCGGGTGCGAGTCCCTGCTCCTCCCGACGACACCTGAGCAAACAGGCCCCAAATCCATCACCCCTTAGGACAGAAAGACAGCCGTCCGCTGGTGTCGGCAGCCACGCGGGGAGCAGCCCCGGGCCAGGGCCCATCCTTTGTGGCGGTGGCAGCCACGGCGGGGACACCCCGAGCCGGGGTGGGGCCTCCCTGTTCTTTGCCTGGTGCGGCAAGGCTTGAGAATTAGGCTAAAAAAATAAAGTCCGGGCCGACCCCCTTCCCAGCCCCACCCGGAACAAGGCTGCTGCGTCCCGGACTTGCCCGCACAGGGACCTGCGGGCTCGAGCCCGAGGGGCCAGGCGGGGGTGGAAGGTCACAGCCGCTGACCTTCGGCTATCAGGCGCCCCCATCTGCAGGTCGAGGCTCGAGCAGGCCTCTGTGGTGCGGACCTGGCGCCTGGGCAGAAAGATGAGGGCGAATGGTCCAAACCAAGGCCTCCATGTGCCTTTTTGTCCTGGATTGTCCCATGCGGCCCCTGCGCGAGGGCAGCTGGAGGCGGTGACTGCTGGGGTTTCTGAGCCCAGGGCCCAGGCCCGCACGTAGCACGGCCTGTCTCCACCCCGTCCTTATTTCAAGGCTCTCACAGCCTTGCAAAGGGGACTGTGGGCCAAAAAAAATCTGGTTTCCTCTCTCAGAAGTGTTGCTGGTTATTTACCTGCACGCAGGCAGGTGCCCAGGCAGAGCGCCCGCCCGCCACGCCCAGCGCCTGCTCAGAGCCGCAGGGCACGGCGCATCCCAGGGCGAGGAAAGCGGCTCCCGCCAGAGCTGGACCCCCCCCCGAGCCCGTCCTCCTCCCGCGAGTCAGTACCAGGGCCTTCCCCGGGCCCTCCGGGTCTGTCTGGGACACAGCCGGAGGGCAGAGCAGGGGCTCTGGATGCTGCCTCGTGTAGCAGGATGGCGGTGGCGGTGGGCAGCAGCCGCCCCCTCCGGGCTCAGAGCGCGTCGGGCTGTAGCACAGAAGTTCCCGCAAGGGCTGCCGGTCAGCTCCGCCCAGCGTCTCCCGCTGTGGCCAGTTCCAGGCTCGGGCAGGGCGGCGGCGCCTGCGGCTTCTCTTGGGGTGAGCATTGGCCAGTACCAGGCGTGGCATGACCGTGATGAAGACCCCAGCTGGGCAAGCTCTGAAGAGGGCGAGGTGAGCGGGGAAGCAAGCGGGAGGCTTCCAGTGGGAAGTCCTGACACCCTCCTCTGGCCAGGGCGCCGGGAGACGCGGAGGGAAGCCAGCCAGGACCCGAGCTGGCCGAGGGGGGAGACCCTCGCGCGGCGGAGGAGACGAGGGTGTCGGGAAGACAGAGAAGGGGCAAGCGAGGCCACATCCACAGCCTGCTTTATTGGCTCACGCACACGGCAAGTCTGTACACAAACATAAATACTCCAATGTACACATTTACACGGGACTCACAGATCACCCCGTCTTCATCCAGCACCCCCAATCTCTGCCCCGCGCAGTCTCCATGTTAGGATGCGGGCTTGCAGGGGGCTGGCGGTAGAAGGCAGGAAGCTGGAGGAGGGAGAGGTCCTGCTCCCCTCTCCTCACAGGCACCTCCAAAGGGTCCTGTCCCTTCTCAACGGCGCCTCGGGGCGGAGGGCGGACACCGCCTGCCGCCCTCTCGGCTCCAGGCCCGCGCGGCTCTGAGCCTTCTTCCGCCTCACTCTCGCCTCTGACTCTGCCCTTGGTCGCTCTCCTCCTTCCTCTCTGCATGTCCCCATCTCTCCGTCGCCGCGTCTGCTTCCCCCAGTGCCCGTGAGGAGGCGGGCCCCCGGCCCCGGAGTCCGTCTGCTCCCTCTTCCGGGCCTTCACAGGAGGCTGGGACTTCGGTGCAGCTCTGCGGAGGTGTTGGTGCCGTTGGCGGGCTCTCTGCTCGGGGTCGGGGCCAAGCCGCAGCCCTCTCCGGGGCAGCCGTGCTGGATCAAGATGTCTGCACACTCCTGGCTGCCGGCCCGGCGGGCGTAGGCCAGAGGGGTCAGGCCCCGGGCGTCCCGGCTCCTCACGTCCACCCCATACTGCGGGCGAAAGCACATGCTCGCGGTCGGCGCGGCGAGGCAGGAGAGGGCGCGAAGGGCTGGGGTGAGGCGGACACGCGGCGGGGAGGCGGCCGGAGCCCACGACTCACCCAGATGAGCAGCTGCGTGAAGACGACGTTGGCCATGGCGCTGGAGAGGTGCAGGGCCGTGCGCCCGTCCCCGTCCCCGTAGGTCTCGTTCACCTCCTCCTTGGAGCCGTGGGCCAGGAGCGTCACCAGCAGCCGCAGGTCATCCTCCACCACCGCCCGCAGCAGCTGCTGCCCCAGCGGCACGTCCGAGCTGGGCAGCGGGGCCAGGAAGAGCTTCTGTTCGTACTTGGCCCGGATCCAGCGCTCTTTCTCCTCTCTGCAACCACAGGTCAGCCCGCGTGAGCGCGGAGAGCCCCGCCGGCGGCCGGGGGCCGGGGAGGGTGTCGGGAAGTGACCCCAGCACCCAGAAGAGGGGTAAGGGTGAGCGAGTGCCCGACGGGGCGGCGCGAGGGCGAGGCACGCGTCCGAGGCAGAGGGCGCACGGGCGGGGGCAGTGCAGAGGGTGTGGAGGAAGCTGCGGGGAGGACACTGCCGGCGGCCCCTGGGGCAGCAGTTCCAGGCAGGCTCCCTGGCAGCTTATCTGGCCGTCTGAACTCCCTCCGACTGGCAGCGCTGGAACAAAGGGGCTGGGGGCCTGCGCGGGGCCCTGGCGCTGGCCTATCTACCTCCCATTCTCCCCATCTCGGGGCTGGGGCTAGCACCTTCCACCGCAGAGCGATAGGGCCCCCGCGCATGCGCCTCCTGCTGGCCCCCTGACCTGCTGATAACGGCTCAGAAAGGGCTGTTGTTGTGAGGAGCCTGAGCGACAGGCCAGGCGGGGGAGGGGCACCCCAAGGGGCCAACTGCCAAGCAGAGCAACGGCCAGTTTTAACCCTGTCGCAGCCGCCGAGCCCACCCCACCTTTGCCGCCCCTCTCCCGGCCAGCCTCGGGCCCAGCCACGCACCTGCAGGCGTCAGGCCCCGGCTTTGCGTAGCCGTCCAGGGCCCCCTCCCAGACGCTGTTGGCCAGGGCGTTGCCCATGGCAGTCATGACGGCCAGGAGCTCAGGTGGCCAGTCGTCGAGGTCCAGGGAGCGGACGCGGGACAGGTGGGCCCCCAGGTGTCGGTGGGTCCCCGAGCACTCAATGCACATCAGGGCGCCCAGGTTCAGGCTGGCCCAGTCTGGGTCTGGGGGAGGAGAGGAGGCCCGATGAAGTCCAGGGCAAGCAGCGTGAGAGCAGCAGGCAGCCCTCCTCCCTGCCCTCCTCTGCCGGCTCCACGCTCTCCCCTTCCTGCCGCGGCCCGGCCGGCGCAGGCCCCGCACTCACTGGGGGCATCGCAGTCGATGCAGAAGCTGTTCCCGCGGACGGTGCGGACGGCCTGCACAGCCAGAGCTGCGTTCTGGTTGCCCAGTCGGGTCTGCCGAGCAGGGAGACAAGGGGTGGCTGGTCAGTCACGAGGTCACCTTAAGGTCCCACCCCGGTCAGGCCTCCATGCTGACCTTGTCCTTGGCACTGCGGCAGCCCTGCAGGCTGGCGAGGATCTGGGCCTGCACACTCTGCACCCACAGTTCCCTCTCCTCTGC